AAATTTTGGTTTTGATAATATGGTTACTACGGTACCTCCAGAATTATATTATCGTTTTATTTACCTTGTAACTGTTTTCAGACATCATTCCAATATATTAACCAAAGTTTCAAATGTGCATTTATTATTATAATAAATTTTGGTTTTGACTGAACTTAGAACAGTAATCTTGACGAGTTAGATTTGTACATTAAGTTCAAATGTAATAGACCTAAATCGTACAATGAATCAGAAAATTAGTCGAAACGATTCCCTTAATTGATTTGTACGAACAAAGTTGGTAACACCGTGCTTTTAAGGCTTCTTTGCATCGAACGTATCGAACGGTATGATTTACCAGCGAAGTCAAAACTTAATTATCCGCTTTTTCCCTTATTACTCGTCGTCGCGAACTGGCTGAAGGCCGATTTATGGCCGGCCGATAAAGCCCGTGGGTATTACGTAATGTACTATCTGTTCTCTGGGAAAACGGACACGAATAAAAGGGGAACGAGCATTTTGTACGCTCGAACGGCTCGAAGGGCAAGATCGTCGGTGTGACCGCGGAAGAAAAAAAGGAAAATAAAAGGGGGAAAAAGTAGTAGAAGTAGGCACAAATCGGCCGTGAAATCCAAGATTTAACCCCATCCTTTTACCGTAGGCGATGAAACGCCCCTCCTAGCTTCGCTGATATGATAAACACCGAAAATGACAGCAGCATCCAAGCCGCGTCTTCCCCTTTTCGCTCCTCTCGCTCTGCCGCTTCTCGTCTTCCCAGGGCTCTTCGAGTTAATCACGTCAGGCAGGCAGACCCTCTGATTAAAACGGGCCTCCATCCCTTCTTATTATTATTGTTATTAGAGGAACCGAGTGCAGGGCACTCGGGGAATCGCGAGATAGACGGGATAGCTCCTCTGAGTATACATAGATATATAGGAAACACGTAGACGGATACACGCGAATAGGTGCCTTCTAAGTCGTCAGAATTTTCGGAGATTATTAAATGGCCGATCTCTGACGAGACTGCGAACCTTGTTTCGCACCTTCCTTAATTAACTTTCCTACGGGCATTATCAATCGTCGGAAAACGCAATATCGTTACTCGAATAAACCCTCTTCACCGCTGGACTATTTATTCGTGCAATTATGTAGATGCGTTGGAGCAGTTAAACTCAAAATACTATGATCAAACTCGTTTCTTGCACTTAGTAGTGACGTATTAGAACCGTCGTCAAACTCAAACTCTTTAGCAGAGATTTTATTCTGAAGGAGTCGAATCTGTGTCATGAACTGACAATTTAGAACCGGTCGTAACGAGACACTCTTCCAATTACAAATGGTATTGAAGTGCCATGAAACTAGACTCGAATGATCCAGATTACCAAAGATAAACCTACTTGTCCAAACGATTAGAACTTTGGACTAATACAGAAATCTCCAAGTTTAATCTCTCAGAATGGGAAATAGCGACTTTCTACCCTTCCCGAGTAAATGAAGCCTAAGTATACAATTCGAAACGAGTCTCGAGCTACATAACGATCAGATTGCTGACCGAATGATGATCCGGTTTCACGGAGTAATCTATCCTCCGAGGAACCGATCATGCTAATAAAGCCGACAGCTATACGTAACCTGGAACGATCGTAAATCCTGTCCAGACTGGTGAACATGCTCGCGAACGCGCAACAGTCGACAGTAGCGAAACCGCGACGCAAACTCGTTCGGAGACGACCGAAGCCGTTTCAACCGATTTGACAAATACACGATACAATCCTTACCAACTACTACCTGCAGAAACAGTAATCATTATTTCGTGCTCGCAACTCGTCGTCGACTGTCAGGTACCAAGATATCATGTTCCGATGTGACGTACAACGCTGACGAGTATGCTTGTTCTCATTTTGCTCTAGTAACGTGCTACGACGTTCTCTAATTATCGGTTTCCGCGTCTTCAAGGTTCGGAATTTTCGAATTGGAGGTTTTCAAATTTATGAATTTCTGCGTTGCTAAATTACTGGATACCTAAATTTCTGAATACCTAAACTTCCAAATTTGTGAAGAGCTGAAGAGCTAAATTTTCAAGTCACGAAATTTACCAGTAACTGATTAGAGAAAATCAAAAAACTAATAATACACTTTTAAATACTAAATAATTATTTAATATTGAACATAAACAATACACATTTTAAGATTAATTATTAATTCAGGGATTACTTTTCCATATATCAAAAACATCACGAACGTTTACATTATAATAACAAGAAGGAAGTGCATTTTTCAATTATTTTCTTTTTAACATTGTACATTTCTAATACTGTTATCACAAGCTAAATTTATTAATAATTTAACAGTACCTAAATTTCCAAAAACTTAAACTCATAAATTTCGAAATTTTGAAAATCCTAAATTTTCTAATTGTAGCTAAACTTCCGAATCCCTAAACTTCCAAATTCCCAAATCCCCAAACTTCTAAATCCCTAAATTCTCAAATCTCTAAAGTCCCAAATTCCCAAATTCCCAAGTCCCTATACGCGCAAATTCCTAAACTTCCAAATCTCTAAACTAACAAATCCCCAAATCCCTAAACTTCCAAATCTTTAAACTCCCGAATCCCCGAATCTCCAAATCCTCAAATCCCCAAATCCCCAAATCTCCAAATCCCCAAATCCCCAAATCCCCAAATCCCCAAATCCCCAAATCCCCAAATCTCCAAATCCCTAAATCCCCAAAATCTTAAACTTCCAAATCCCTAAACTCCCAAATCCCCAAATCCCCAAATCCCCAAATCCCCAAATCCCCAAATCCCCAAATCCCCAAATCCCCAAATCCCCAAATCCCCAAATCCCCAAATCCCCAAATCCCCAAATCCCCAAATCCCCAAATCCCCAAATCCCCAAATCCCCAAATCCCCAAATCCCCAAATCCCCAAATCCCCAAATCCCCCCCAAAATTACCACCTGTCCAAATCAAACTCCTTCCAAAACTACCCCATCCAAATCCCAAATCTTGCAATCCAGAATTTATCCCACAATGTCATCCTCCAAGAGTTAAATAAAAATAATTCAACCCTACACTAACATCTCATATCTGTACCTTCGTAGCCCACGAAGAAAGAGATGCTCTCGATTACGCCATTGTGCGAGGATCACGCAAGTGTGCGATCTGGTGGGTCGAATCTGTGCAAGCTGAAGGCTGGCAGAGGAGGGACGCGTCCGGGGGTATTACGTAAGGTCGTGGAGCCGGATGGGAACGAGATGATCGAAGAAAGAGGAAGAAAAGAAAGAAAATAACGAGTTCGCGCCAAGTTACGAAACGGCTCGTAGCTGGCAGCGATGACCGCTCGCATGGGCTAATAGCTGCCGCGAGCATAACGAAGGGTTATGTGGATCACGGGTTTGTTATTGGCTGGTTTAATGACTCGTCCACTCGTTCTACCTGTCTACAACATGGTCCACCGTCGAATATCGAGCGCCAATGAAACATGGGACCAACGTTCCAATATATTGTGGACAACGAAGCGGGAAGGTATTTCAATGGCGGTTCCTGAATGAGTGCAGATTGTGAACGACTCTCAAAGTAATGCAACCAATTAATTGCGTTTTCAATAACGAATTCATGCCGTACACGGTTTTGGATACTGACGATAAACTTTTGAAAAGATTCATTCGATCAACCAGATATATAATCCCACTTTTTTTGTAAATAATTACATATACAAAAGTTACCTTCTCATGATAATTATTTTATCTTCAAGGTATATTTTCTGATTTAGGAAAATTTTCTCACCAGAAAATTTGAATAGGAACGTAAGCAGTACACCCTTTATAAAATTGAACGTATTACGAGTTACACCCGGAAGGTTAATAATAAATTTTCAATCAGAAACTTCGGCATCGATCGAGCTCCTTCTAAACTCCTCGAACGAGGTAATAACACGAAAAGGCGAATGGACACGTATCGTGTTGCAAGGTGCACGCGAGCGATTAAACGTCTCGAAAGTGCACATCTTAATCCCAGGACCTGTTCAGCCCCGACAAGTCTGGTTTAGTCGCGACTCTAATGAGAAGCATCGTAGCCGGCTCGAGGCAAGTTTTATTCGCCTGATATTCCAAACGCCTACAACTCGTTACTCCCGGCTATATTCTGTATTTACGTAGCCGTTTAAGCGTTCTGAGCGACGTAAACGGGGCTGTATTAGATAGCGAGACGGTGCTGCGGCTCGACACTCCGAATTAATAACATAGGAATCCAAAAATTAGGTGGAAAATTAGGTACCCTATCTTACTATCCTGTCTTTGTTATTTTATTCCTGTTATTCAAGATTCGTCGAGGACATCAGATCTCTAAATACCCCAAAAATTGTCAAGGTTGAAAAGTATGCTAAACTGTTTGGTAAAGTGGGGTTCACCGAATAAATCTTTGAAAGATTCGTCGAGGACATCAGATCTCTAAATACCCCAAAAATTATCAAGATTGTAAAGTATGCTAAATTGTTTGGTAAAGTGGGGTTCACCGAATAAATCATTGAAAATATTTTAAAGCACTTGAAGATGCAAATTCGTCCTGACACCACCGGTAGAATGAAACCTCCCTCAGGAAGGGGAAATAAACTCGACCATTTTTCTGACAGTAAATAGAAAATGAGTATCGTGAATATAATTATAAAACCTTGATTGACGGTACCCGACCTCCGTCCACACCCTAGCGTGCCACATGCACATCGCGCGATCGCATGTTATTGAAAAGAAGCTATTCGCGTGTTCTTCCGCATTTTTATTTTTCACGCGTGGGTAATTGAATTCCTCAACATGTTCGATGGTTCATCGATCAAGCGAATTAAAGCAAAAACTTCTCACCGTACCGACCGGCTCCCAGTATGAACTAATTTGTTGTCCGGTTGAAATTACAGCCCTTCGCGCGTGTCTGCGTGCTAGAAGGATAATGGATCTCGCGGCAGGAACGTGAGAACCTTAGACGGCCAGCTAACGTACCGTATAATCGATGCATTTATATTCACTCACCATCGATATCAGACGAGGATTGATCCACGCCTGCTGCATGTTATCGTCGAGATACCGCTTCGCTATTCGGGCGATGTTTTCGTGAGGCTCCTTCCTAGCCGCTGGCATCGCGGGCGGAACGTCCACGTTCACATTGTTCCTGAAACAGAACCCGTTAACGCGTAAGTTCTAGCGTGGGTGTGATTGGTTCTTTCGAAACGACAAAACGATTTCGGTGTACCGGTTACCATGTAGTGTCAAGATTAGACTTGATAATTTCTTGTGAAATATTTGGGTGTTTGAAAATTTCTTTATACAAGAAATTTAAATGCAAGACTTTAATGCAAGACTTAAAAACTTGTTTTGGATGTTAGAGGTATTGGTTAGCTTGACTTTACAAGGAAATTGTATTGCATCAAGATCTACAGACTCGATGTGGACAGAAATATTTGGAAGATCATGTAGCTTGGAAAATTTCTCATGTAAAGAAACTTTTTTGTTGCATCAAGATTGAAAGAATTGTTAATTTGGACATTAGAAATATACAAAAGAATGAGTAGCTTGAATTGACTCATATAAGAAAATTTCTGTATTGCATCAAGATTTACAAACTTGATAAGTTGGACAGTATGAAACATTTGATACATCGTGTAGCCTGGAAAATTCTCATATAAACAAATTTTTCTACTGCATCAAGGTTAAAAGAATTATCAATTTGAACATTAGAAATATACAAAAGAATGAGTAGCTTGAAAATGACTCATATAAGAAAATGTCTTTACAGCATCAAGATTTACAAACTTGATAAGTTGGACAGTATGAAACATGATACATCGTGTAGCTTGGAAATTTCTCATATAAATAAATTTATCTACTGCATCAAGATTGAAAGAATTGTTAATTTGGACATTAGAAATATACAAAAGAATGAGTAGCTTGAAAATGACTCATATAAGAAAATGTCTTTACAGCATCAAGATTTACAAACTTGATAAGTTGGACAGTATGAAACATGATACATCGTGTAGCTTGGAAAATTCTCATATAAACGAATTTATCTACTGCATCAAAATTGAAAAGCTTGATAATCTGGACATTAGAAAAATTTTAAAAATTAAGTAGCTTGAGAACGACTCAAGGAAATGTCTGCCAAGAGGAAATTTTGTTTACAAGGTTAAAAACTGAACAACTACAGAGTTCAATAAGTAGAGCCTTATTCATCACACAAAAATGTGATTTCACGGCAAAGGCGCTAATCAGACCTCCATGTGAAACCAATTAAGATATCAGTAACGATAAGCACCGACGAAACGTAACGATCTTGGTTGCCTAATTGCGAACTGTTTCGTCGCGCGATAAGCTCGCATGGTCTCTGGTTAGACGGCGATGACGGTGTATGGCGTACGCACAATAGATTCGGTTTGATGCATAGCCACAATAGCGAGAGCAGGGTAGACCGTTAATTTGGTGTCCTGCTGGCCCACAACGGTCCCACACGCGGATTGCCGTTCTCCGTCAAACGTCGCTCGCGTTAATAACTCATCGAAGTAAATAATAGCATTTGCCAAAGTGGACCCCTCAGTTTGTCATCTATCGAGATTCCGGCGCGTCGATCGATTTCTGTCATTAATACGAGTCCCGTTATACATATCTCGTTAATACGCCCCGGCACGTCGATCTATTGTTATGAATTTGTAAGCGACAGGGCCTCCTGCTGGCGTCGATCGGGTTTGCGAATCGTAAGATGATGGATGAGCCACCGTCGCTGTAATGGAGTATCCGAGAACGAAATTTAAAAGGGATGAACGAGTTGCGCTGAAAAGCTGACGGGAATTGCGTCGGTTTTTAAAACTGTTTGTATTATAATTGTTTCGACCCCTTTCATTAACCTCGCCTTTGATTCAGCAACATAGAAGGAAATAGTTTTCCTCGGTGAATAAGATTCGAAAATCTCGAGTCACGCTTAAGCAAACTACGCCATCGATCACGAGTATCGGACACTTTTATGAGCAGCGAAACATAGGTCTCTTAATCCCCCTTCATTGTTATTCGTTGTTTAGGTACACTCGTAAATTCCCTGCATCTTTCAAGGTTTTCTCCGCGGAATTTCACGCGCGTGGAACTCGGATCACTGTCTTGTATCAAAATTTCCATCTGTCCGTCCCGTTGAACGGTTACATCGCTAAGATAGACCCGCATGAGCACGTACAATGGCCAGCTGTATGAATAATCGTGTACGCGCGCGTATACAAATGTTACGAAACGAGTATTATTCTCGCATTCAATAGAGGAATTTCCCCGGCTCGCGCTTTACGGGTTTCTACGGCCAGATATCGTCTAAGTGAATTATGAGAGTTTATCGTGACTCTGCGGTCCGTCCCTGTTGTTACCGTTGAGGCACAGCTGTCGCTTTAAAGCTTAAGTTGCTGAACTGTGCTCGAGATCTCGGCAACCACTGAAAATTATTGCTCCTTTGGATCTTTGGGTTCTTCGTTTCTCTCATCAACTGTTACAAGAGTTAAAGACAATTGCAAACGTTTCAAGTTTGAATATGTTCAATTTCGAACAATGTCATTCACGTTTCAACCCTTTGACTCATTCAACACATATGTCGAATGTGGCTCAACATTTTTTTTTAATCTTATACATTCTACAGATAAACGGACTACCACATGTAATAAATAAAAAATATATTTGTCATATACTCCACATTGTTGCAATACATTTTATGAACCCCTTCTTGATCTACTTTAAAAATTAAAGAGCTGTTGGGTAAAAAAAAATTGAAGAGTGCAGTTATATTTTCTTTGGAAAAAATTGTACAACAATCGACGCACGGTGTAGCAAAAATCTAATTAAAAATCCTGAAATTTCATAACAAGATAGAACTGGCAGATCGCAAATAAGGGATGAGGTAAAATTTCGAAACAAAAGTTAGCACGAATTACGAAGCAATGAAAAGGGACGCAGAGCAAGGGAGTAACGGAACATAACGCATAATTCGTTGAACGAACAGGTGCTTTTGCTGGTGCGATTCACGTTCGTTTCCCTTTTCACGGCAAGTACGGTAAACAACTTCAGCGACGGGCTTTGATCTCGATGTCTCGGGGTGGAACAGCTACCTGGTTAGTCCAGCAACATCGTACGAATTCGTTCTTTGTCGTTCACCTGTCGAGCTTCTGCATTTCAAGCGTGCCCCCCAGCACTTGGACTAATTATATTCCTACAAACGCATACACAGCGAAGACTAATTACCGAGCTCCGGTCGTCCGTGTTTTATCCTTTCAACCGGATCAACGCGGAATAGATAATAACGGAGGAGAAAAAGATTGGAAAAGTAGCGAGTTAGGGAGAGACACTCGTTGACACGAGTGGACCCTGGTCGAATAAAACTGTATGTCGAAATAAAATCTGAGCATGGTTCGAGCTTACCGTTCTATGAATGGACGAAATATGAACGGACCGTTTCGGAGATAATCTTCGGATCTAAACAGGTGCTCCTCGAGATTTCGAAAGTCACGTCCAGGGTAAATCTCGATTTACGTTTCGTTCCTATTGTTGACCGGTACCGCAGCTGTCCCGAATCGCACGCGATTTTCTCCTGAAAATTCACGCGTCTTTGAACGAAAATCCGCGGAGCGCAGGTGTTGCAGGTTACACGCGAGCGCACGTGCACGAAAACCGAGAAAAGTTTCGATCGACTTCGCGAGAAGTTATCCTTGGCGGAATGATAAATGGCGAGTGTTCGAGCGAGAAGTTTCTTTCCGAAGAAAATCGCGCGAAGGTGAGCTCGGATAAAAATCGAGCGACCGCGGTTTATTTGAGGCCGGAAGAATAACGATAAAAGAGAAGGGCCGGGCAAATTTTCGGTCTCGGTCACAATTCATGCTGTCGACCGGCCACTCGAATCGGGAGCTCGCGAGAATTCTCCTGGCAGATTTTACGATGCCCCGAACGATAAACTCGATAGTTTAACGGGCACTCTCGCTCACTACCTGTCCTCGAAGCGTCGTTAAGGCAACAGGCAGCCGCTAAACGCAGCAGGTGAGTGCAATACCGTGTATGGCTTCTACGGACACTGGGCGACCGAAAAATCTATAAACATTGATCGATACCTCGAGAAAACGAGCAAAGAAACAGGATCGTTCGGTCCAGAGTCGTTGCCAACTTCTAAAAGCGGTTCTCTCGTGATTTCCTGCGATTTATACTACCAATTCGATGTTTTATCGAACCGATTACGAGCTGCACCAAATAATAGTATTACCGAGTTGACCAAATGACCAACATTCAAGCTATCATTCAACTTTGAAGGATTAATCTTTTAGGGACAGATTTAAATCTAGTACTACAGACAGAAGTACTATTTCTTAAATAAAAATAGTCGACGAAACAATTCGAACTAGTAGCGCAATCGCGTCATCTCACGTGCCAGGTTTTTAATTCGAATCGATTCCAGCTTCAAGAGCAGATATGCAAATTGCGGCACGAGCATTCGGCGCAGCAACATTACTAGCCCTTCTATCGCTGCAACAGCTCGCAGCCTAATCGCGGAGGAGCGTATTAATCGAGCCTGCCGGCGTACCCGCAGTAAACGATACCGATTACGCGCGAGTATGCTCGGTAATGCTCGATAACGCGCGGTTTCGCGAGCGGATTCGCATCCCGGAGCCGCGTACAAATCGTCGAGATCTCGCCTCGTCTTTGTAGCTCGTTCACGCGTTCCCGAGATCGCTTATTGCCGACTAACGAGACGATTTCCTCCTATCGATTCTCCGGGCTTCCGTGCCCGTAATTCCAACGCCCTTTCTCGTCGGCCGACGATCTCTCCAGGTCCTGGCAATTCGAAAGACCGGATCCACGTATCCCGTGTAACAAACTCAATTCACGCGATTCTTCTTCAAGACTGACTTTTCGAGTACTCGGTAGAATTTCCACAATCGGAACTTGTCGAGTCTCGAAGATATTCTGCGATGTATGGAACTGATCGGTTGAACGTAGAATGGCACTTGTGTACGGCCATCTTGTTTCTGATGGTCGAATTTAAGAAGTCGCTTTACCTCGATGTGAAAAAGAGAAGTTGAATTTCGGAAGCTGTTAGAGACAGATACTATTGTAAACAAGATGGCAGTAAAAAACAAGATGGCCGTAAACAAAAAGGCG